TTTTACATATACATATATGTACACATTGACATAAACGATTATATAACTAAATATTCACCACAAGTGAGAATTTTAATTCTTATTGAAGTTAAAAAAAAATTTAATGTTTTTTTTCACTATCACTCAAACTGTAGTGAAATGTTTTATGTTAATATTTTTTTTTCAAATATTATTTAGATATTATTTGATTTTACATGTCTTTAGCAATTATAATAGGAAACTATTAGTTCGAAATCAAAAATATCTAAAATTTATATAAAACGAAACGAAACCAATAACAATAGTTTTTGGTTATCATTGAAAAATCAAAACATCAAACATTTAAACCAAACAAACCAAAATAAATATAGATTTAAATGATAGTTATACTTTAGGAGATTAAAAAACAACGTATAATTGAACCAATATTCATGCTAAACAGACATAATATCATTTTATCGTAAAAGTAACAAACGTAATACTCTCATTCCGCGCAAGGCGCGGGTTATTACCTAGTGCTATTATATTTAATAACATAACTACATGCATTTTTAAAATTTCATTTGTAGACTGATCATTCATATTTTTGTCATTAATATAAATAGACCGATCATTTATATTGATAGCATAGTTTCAACAGTGTGGTATAAAACTTTCAATTAAAAAATCTTAGATTTTAGAGAGCAAAGATTTTTGTTTTATTGTCGGCGCCTATCTTCTAAGATCAAGTGGTAGTCGGGTCTAAGTCGTTCTGAATAGACGCTCTGTCCAACTGGGTCTGATCTATATGGAAAAAGAGTGTTACTACATCTCGCCCCCTTTGCGAGAGAATCTGCACGCAAATTTCTATTCCTGGATATGTGGGCGATGCTGAACTCAGCAAATCCGTCCTTTAGAAGTCGGAACGAAGCTAACTCAGATGCAAAGGGTCGGATGGAGTAGCGATCATGCTCACTGGGTGAGCAATCTGTCTCCATATAAATCGCTTGCAATGTAACCCTCGTAAACAAACCATCGCCCATATGAGGCCTTCCATCTCTGCATAGAGGGCTGAAATGCTTTTTCGACATCCTTGTAGTCCATTTTTTCGATTCCCATTAAGTCCTTGTAGCACCACCCTAGTCCACTGACCGTGCCATCTTCGGTCCATAACGCATCGATTTGACGCATCTCGACTCTCCTTGTGGACAACCAAGAACAAAGATTTAATTGAAAAAATATTAGTCAAACTAATATCACAAATTCAATACAAAATAATACATGTTTAATATAATTACATAATTAATTAGATACTTAGAAAGGTTGATTTTAGTAAAAATGAAATAAACCTTTATATTTGAAATAATTACGAAATTAATTAAATATTTAAAAGGTTTGTTTAAGTGAAAAACAAAACATACATTTATATTTAAAAGATACAAAATTAATTATATATTTAAAAAAAAAAAATTAATGAAAAATGAAACATATATATTTATATTGTAAATAAAAAGATATGAAAAGATTTTGTTTAGATGTAAATCAGAGAAAATATAAGAATATCTATTTGGTTTTTCTTAGAATAACTAAAATATTTCAAATATGTATAGAAAAAATTATTTAAATAAGTTTCTAAGGTATTGGCCAAATAGAAAAATAACACATGAAATAAGTCATGATTTTTCTTTTAATATATTGGATATCTTTTAGAGATTTATTTTGAATTGATGAAAATAGCGCATATACCAAATTCTACTCGTGTCAATGATTTTTTTTTTAAATACAGATAAACTAGATGATAATCAGCGCCATACGCGGAGTGAGCTTTTTAAAAAATATATTGTATTTGAATACATATTTTGTTATCAATAATATTTTTCTACATTTGATTAGGGATGGTAATTCAGGTATCATTTGGTTCAGATATTTGCGGGTTTGGTTAAAATTTTTGCAGGTTCGGTTTGGGTTTAGGTTCAGATAACCCATTTATTTTTTTAAAAAGATTAAAGTTCATATATACTTTAAATTTTTCAAAATATAAAATTTAAAATAATATATAACGTATAAATTTGAAAAATGAATGCCAAAATACCTAAACTTAACAAACAAATTGGTTTATCTTAAATATTTAGACAAAAAAATCAATAAATATTTCAAGTATTTTTGGTATTTGGAATATTAGCTATTTTAAAAATGTACATTTAACTATTTTATATATTTCTAACTATTTTGGAAAAATTTAAAACATCTCATGTATTTCTATATTCTTAGATGTTAAATTTAAATATATTTAAGTATATAAATTTTGTTCGAGTACACTCGGATACCTAAAATATTTTGATTCAATTTTGGTTCTCTAGATACCAAAATTTTGAATCCATTTGGATATCTAACCAATATTGGCTAAAGATTTGTACTACTTTTGTATTAGATTTGGATCGGTTATTTGGATTCATGTTTTTTGTCCAATCGTATATTTTTTTATTGAAACAAAATTTTAAACGAAAGGGATGATGGTTCATATTGATTTTGGGTATGCAACAATTTTTAAAGAAAAACACACTCTATTATGTACGTGATCCATTTAGTTAATCATTAAAAACTGTTTAAGACACATTAAAATGATTAGCTGAACTAAGAAATGTTACCATTAATTTCTTTTAATAATATAAAATTAAATAAAAAGTAAAGAGGATAAAAAGTTGTTTTCAAATCTTTATTATTCATAATCATTAATTATGATATATATGTTAATCATATTAAGTAATTCTGTATCTTTTATTTAAAGAAATAATAGTGAATATTCTTTTGTACACTACTAAGTAAATATGATAGTTTAATAAAAAATATAACATATGTTTAGTTGGACCAATATATTTCTCTAAGAGTTCTGCAACCATTCTCATTGTGACACGTGGCTACCAAAAAATATTGTAATGCTCTAGAATTAATATATAGGGGATATCCGCGCACTTGCGCGGGATGAGAATTATATATATAAATTATTTTATGTCTTATTCTTTATTTTGTGTTCTTTTATTTATAAAATAATAAATATATATATATTGAATAATTTAAAAAACTGTAACTATTATATATACAATTTGTTTTGCGAACACTTAAATAAAATAATCATATTTGTTTATTTACAATCACTTTATATAAGTAAATCTAATTACTAAATGATAACAACACATATATATATACTTTGTAATTTGAATATCTAATAAATAAAACTTCACACTTACATGGTTTTATGATCATTTGTATATTTTTATAATAAAAATTTTAAAATATTGATAACATCATTTTTAATGTGAGAAATTTAATATTTACAGTAATTTATCATCGTTTATTTTTTTTTTAAAAGTTTGTCATTAAAGTATTGAGTTCTCGATACTAAATATTTATGTATTTTTAGTTTAATTTAAATATCACTAAATATATATATATATATATATATATATTTGTGTGTGTATAAATCTACTTTAAATATCTATTAAATGAGATTTCTTACTCATTAATTATATAATTGTTTGTATCGTGCTCAAAAATATTATATGTGAAATTTTTAATTTTTTTACTAATCTATAGTCATTTTTAAAAATTCAAAACATAACATATATAAAAAATCTATTTTTTTTGCTATATAGCTAATGTTATTGTTTAATTATTTAGACAATATAAATTTAACCAAAAGAGTAGAGGGTATACAATTTCTTATCAAATTTTTCATATTCAAATTATTAGTTATCATATATATATTTTAACAATATTAGATAATTTCGTAAATTTTATTTAAAGAAATAATAATTAGCATTAATAATAGTTTTATGTTTAGTTTAATAAAAAGTATATAATATGTTTATATGGACCAATATTTTTTCTAATAAATTTGAGAAACATTCTTATGAGGATATGTGGCTATCAAAATATGTTGTCATGCTTCTCAATTAATATATAGGGGATTATTATGTGGTGTTTGTAATATTTTTAGCAGCGATTTATATTGGTTATATATTACTGGTTAACCGAATAAAATAGATGGTGTTGACAAAAGAGAAATAGATTTACTTCGTCATTGGAAGACAAGAGGATAGAGGAAAAATGGTTTCCCATCAGCCATTTGTCCTGATAAAACATTTTTTTGTTTTGCAATCACATTTACACTTTCATTATCTTTTAAAAAATTAGAACAGGCATGTTCTGAGTCAGACTGTGACTACGCCCTTGCAATCGGGTTAATACATGTGTCAGCCGCCTAATCAAATATAAAATAACGACTAACGACCGGGTCTTGCAAAATATTCAGTTCCTAAATTGCCTTTACCTACTTCTTTCTTTTAGCATCGCGTACTACACAACAAATTTTAAAACCGACCCCAAAAATTGTTGGTTTAACGGTCAAAGCAAATTTAATTCTTGACTTTTTTCATATAAATATTTTTGAAAATTAGAACAGGCATATTCTATGATTCCAGGTTTTAAATTCATAAAAAATACGGCTAAAATGAAGACAACCATATCTTTTATCATATTTTGAGGTCATGTGTTGTTTTATTAATTAAACTTTTATAGAAAAATAATGGAAAAAGAAACAAAATGTTGAATAATTCAAATGTTGAATTTGAGGAAGGCCATTAATGTAGGTACAAGACTTTTATTTTGTCAATAAATACTTTGTTATCTTCTTTTTGAGCTGGATAAATATTATACAAATATTTTTTTATTAAATGACGTTGTTACACCAACTAAATATGTTTATTTTTATTAAATTCTATATGTATAAGGAAACAAATCCGGTAAATAAAACGAAAATGGTATGGTTAAAATGGTAAGAAGACTTTGCTCTATTCATCTTCCTTCCTTACTGCCCCACACGATTTATACACACATAAGACACAACCATATCTTCTGTAATAAAAGCTCCGATTATATATATACATACGTGTATATGTATATACATTACATACTCATCCACACAAACCCTTTTAACTGATATGTCTCCATGAACGTTGTCCTTTGATCTTCTTTTCATCATCATGAAATCCAGATCTCTCTTCTCTCTCCTCTTCCTTGTGCTCTTCACCTCTTCTGCTTACGCTCGGTTCGTCGCTGTGCAGCCATCTTCCACAGTTCTTATCTCGGATGGAATCGACGGCGGAAGTCTCGACTCAGGATCGATCATCAAGACGGTGGTCTCGGCTGAGGAGAAAGAGGAGGCTTGTGAACAGACGTATGGGTTCATGCCGTGTACTAAGACGGCGCTTGGGAACGTGTTTTTGATTTTGGTTTATGGGTTCCTCATGTTCACGGCGGCGACGTATCTCTCCGCCGGAAGTGAGCTTTTGCTCGAGATCCTAGGACCTGGTATCGTCGGTGGTTTGTTTCTTCCCATGCTCGGAGCTCTTCCTGATGCTATGCTTATTATGGGTAGGTGAAAAGGTTGATTCTTTCTTATAAATGGTGAATCTTTGTTAGTGATTGATGATGATTCTTTGATGGTAACTGAAAGGTAGATTCTTTATTGTTACTGTTTGAGTTTTGAGAAATAAAATGTGAATCATGTTGTTAGTGATGATGATGCTTTGATGGTAACTAATCAACTCATGTCTTGTCTTTTTGTGTCAATAGATTGTTTGTGTTTTTTTTTGTAAAGTTTCGTTTTTATTATTATTCTTGATGGGGTCTCTTGAATTGTATTTATGTGTTTGGTTTTATTTGCAGTGTCTGGACTTTCTGGAGATGCAGCAACTGCACAAAGCCAAGTATCCGTGGGAATGGGTTTGCTTGCTGGCTCTACCGTTATGCTTCTCACTGTTATCTGGGGTACTTGCACTGTTGTTGGCAAGTGTGACCTTCGTGATACCATTGCTGTTAACAATCAAGACACCAAAGGCTTCCATCTTAAAGGTAACAAGAAACTAACCTATGTCTCTTGTGACATACAAAAGGTGAAATGCTGATAACTGTTGTTTTGTTTCTGTGTCTATAGATTCTGGTGTAACGGTTGATGTTTGGACCAGCTATGCTGCAAGAATAATGGCTATTTCAGTTATTCCGTTCGTCATTGTCCAGCTTCCACAAATGTTGAACTCAACGTCTGGAAGACATTTGGCCGTGTTGGTTGCTCTCATCCTCTCGGTTCTAATGTTGATCTCTTACTGTGTATATCAGGTACATAGCCACTAGACTGGTGTCTCTTTGTTATTTTTTCATTTCTCCATCTTGTTTATGAGATTTTTCTTTCTTGTGTGTGATTATGTATATAGGTGTTCCAACCATGGATCCAAAGGAGACGTCTTGCTTTTGCAAAGCACAAGCATGTTATATCAGGAATCTTAAAGCACTTGAAACAACATGCTTTGGGAAGACTTCTTGACGATGAAGGCCAGCCTGATGAACATGTCATTCGAAAGTTAGTCAAATTTTATTTCACCACTTTTGTAAAGTTTCACCATGTGCTTTAAAACTAATCTGTTTATTAGGTTGTTTGAGACAATTGATGCAAACAAGGACGGACGCTTATCAGCTACTGAGCTTAAGGCGCTTATCATTGGTATCAGCTTTGAGGATATAGATTTTGACAAGGACGATGCTGTGGGAAGAGTTCTCCAAGATTTTGATAAGACTCTTGATGAGGAAGTTGATCAAGAAGAGTTTGTCCGTGGGATTAAGCATTGGCTTATCCAGGCAATGGGAGCTTCTGGTCATTCTGGTCCTGATGCTGGTCCTAGAACAATGAAGTTCCTTGACCATTTCCATGTGGTAAGTTGAATACCATTTCTTGAGCACACTAGAGTCACTAGGCCTCTCTGGAGTTAACACAATTGTTTTTTTTTGCAGCAAACAAAGAGAGAGCATGCTCTGTTGGGAGACAATGAAAATGGTGAGAATGATGAGGAGTCTGGTGAGGTCGCAGACCCAAAATGGATCACCTTTAAAGCAGCTTTACTGCTGCTGCTAGGAGCAGCCATTGCTGCTGCATTTGCTGATCCTTTAGTGGACACAGTTAACAACTTCTCAGCAGCCACAGGGATCCCATCTTTCTTCATTTCCTTCATCGCTTTGCCTCTAGCCACCAACTCAAGTGAAGCAGTCTCTGCCATCATCTTTGCCTCCCGCAAGAAGATCAGAACAGCCTCCTTAACTTTCTCCGAGGTCCGTTTATTCTGTTATGAACCATCTTCATTGTCTCATTATACTTGTTACTAAAAACAACTTTCATGGTGGGTGTGTGTGTGTGTGTGTTTGTCACAGCTATGTGGTGGAGTGACAATGAACAACATTTTGTGTCTCTCGGTGTTCTTAGCAATCGTCTACGTTCGAGGACTGACGTGGAATTTCTCATCAGAAGTGTTGGTGATTCTCATTGTTTGTTTGGTGATGGGAAGTTTTGCTAGCTTCCGCACAACTTATCCTCTGTGGACATGTTTCATAGCATACCTCCTNTGTCACAGCTATGTGGTGGAGTGACAATGAACAACATTTTGTGTCTCTCGGTGTTCTTAGCAATCGTCTACGTTCGAGGACTGACGTGGAATTTCTCATCAGAAGTGTTGGTGATTCTCATTGTTTGTTTGGTGATGGGAAGTTTTGCTAGCTTCCGCACAACTTATCCTCTGTGGACATGTTTCATAGCATACCTCCTTTACCCATTCTCTTTGGGTCTGGTCTACATTCTTGACTACTGGTATGGTTGGTCATAGATTGATAACTCTCGTTCAATGATTTGTTCTCTGAGTGTTTCCTTTCTTTCTTTCTTCTTTTTTTTTTTTATGTTATGGAGAGTGTAAAAAACTCAAGTTACATTTCTGAGATTTGTCAGTGTTGATGTGTTTGAAACACTGTTATTAAAGCTTCTTTCTGTTTCTTCACAAAAAAATATTTCTGTTTCTTCAGCATGTATTCTTCTCCTTTCCCTTTATATTGTATACTCGTGGATGTTAAAGTTCTATTATTTCTTCGACACTACTGCAAAAAAGAAAATATAAACCACTTCACTTGTAATATCTATCATCAGAGGCTGACGTTCATTAACTTTTGGTGGCAAAACATCTAATGATTAGCTCTCTGAACTCTCGGGTTATGGACGAATGAACCGAGCAAAAAGTATCAGTAACAAATAACAACTAATTTTATGTTCATATCGATCTGTTATGGGTATCTGTATTTAATATTGGGTATAGGCCTGGGCATTTTAACCTGGACCTGAAAACCTGACCTGGAATCGACTTGGAACCGATCCGAAAATACCTGATCAGAAACCGAACCGTAAATTTATAAGTACCTATCGGGTCTAAATTTCTTTTACCCGAAAGAACTGGAACCGAAAAGAACCGATTCAAACCCAACCCAAAAATTTTCTAAGTATCCATTGGATCTAAATGTTTAAGACCCGAAAGATCCGAACCTGAAAGGAACCGGCCCGACCCGAAGAACCGAACGCCTGGGTTTAATTGGGTAGACGTAGACCTCATACAATGCCACATCGATCTATTATTTTATTGTAAATCACAATACATTGTCAAGCTCCCGTAGCTCAGTTGGTTAGAGCGTTGGTCTTATGAGCCGAAGGTCGCGGGTTCGAGGCCCGCCGGGAGCAAGATGAGATATTTTTTACTTTTAGAAATTTGATAACTAAAAAAGCTTTGGCCTTTTATTGGATTCATGCTTTCACTCGTTTATTTAATTATTTATTACGGCTGAAATTTAATTTTATTATGTCCACTATTTCCATCTCATTTTCATTTCCACCTGTATGTAAAAGGCATTCTTTTATAGAGGTTTTCTCATAGGGTAATTCTCTCAAATAATTCTTTTTAAAAAAAAATTTCACCAAAATAAACTTCAAAAACTAAAATGATCAAAATAGCATTTTTTGAAAATTTTAAATTTATTTATTTAATAAAATTTGAAATCCTATCTCCAAAATCTCATTCCTAAAGTCTAAACAAAAATGTAGAGGATTAGTTAACACAAGGGTATAAATGTATATTTATTTATTTTAATAAAATATTCAAATTTATTTTGATCATTTTTATTTTTAAAGTCTATATTTGTAACAAAAAAAAATTAGATCTATCATAGAGAATTTATCTTTTCCATGAAATCTACATATCAATAATCTATATTATAATAAAAAAGTTTTGTTACCTCCTATGTACATGTTAGGATTAATGTGAGCTCCATTTTTATTTTTATTTTCCTATCGGGTTGGTTTTAATGGATCACGAGCTTTTGATCTGTGCACCCGCGCGGATGTATGATGTGATAATATGTTTTTGCATTTTTTGAAAACGTTGATGTTATTGTTTCATTTTATTGAGACTATACATTGATGTATCATGTTTATTTTGTTGAGTGTGAATTTTTAAAGTATGAGATTGTATTCTTCTTATATTGTATTGAGTTGTTTTACTTGGTAAACTAAACATAAAATGTATAATATCAAATAATTAAATTGAGATTTGAAAATTTTATTAAGAAAAAATAGAATTTTTGTCATTTTAAAGTTTTTTAAAATAGTTGTTTATATAGCTTGAGATTTAAAAGTTTTATTAAATAAGAAAACATAAATGTTATCATTTAAAACAATGGCATTTAAATTGCTGTTTATGTAGCTTTTAGAAAAAAGAATATCGATAGTAACTACATAACCAATTAGAAAAGTAACCGCGTAAAAACAATCTATCTAGTATATCTTTAGTAATTAAATTGACAAAGGGTAATTAATTTAGACCATTATATTATGATTTTAAAAGATGAATCATTTGTAACCCAAAAAAATTGTTAAACGAAACCCAAATCAAAGCCCATTTTTTTTCCGGGAAGAAAACAGAAACATGTCTTTGTTCTAAGCACTTTGGTTTTCCCGTAGAAAATACTTTTTCCTCTACAGAACTCTTTGTCGGTGCGTCTATTGATGTGGCGAGATCTAACTAAACGCCTTTGATTTCTTTCACAAAAAGGATGCCACAAGATAGATCTACTTATTTCTACTGCAGATCATGGCATAAAGGTTTGAGTTTATATATTTCCGTTTGATCTTTATTTGTTTCGATTAGTTGTCCTAATCTGTATTTTGTGTTATGATTTTTTAAACATGATCTCAGATGTCGAATACAAAGACATTTGTCTTTGATATATAGAGCCCGTACCCTGTATAATCTTCAAGTGAAAACCTTGTTGAAGTTACCGGGTCAGAAACAGGGGAGGAGGAGGAGGAGGAGCTTCAACGGTCAACTAAGCGAAACTGAACCCTCAATCTGTCTTGGCCAGCAACTTGAACGGTCTGTACATCACAAGGATCATGAATTCTTCCTATAACATCTGCGAGTCAAAAAGAGAAACATAGGTAATTGTGGTATCTCAACTTACACAACCTTTTTAACAATACAAACATAATTGAAATTGAGATTACCTATGAGGAAAGCTGACTTTTTTGTTACCCTCTTTTCAATTTCTCCGTAGTTAGGAAGAGATAGGAAAAATCTATCATCAACTAAATCTGACCTTGATACCATAGAGTCTTCTGCTATAACCATCTTGTATAATAGTTTAGATATTTACTTATTTTTTGGTTGGAAATTTATACCCCATCAGGGGTTTAGGGTTTCTTCTTCTCTTCTGGATACTATGTTATCTTTGATGGCAAAGAAAGAGAGATACTTCGCCGTGCAAAGTCGCAAATATACATTGCTAACCAAATTTTGCCTCCCCTGCTTATGGGCTTCCCGCAACATCAAGAAAGGCGGCAACATTATGGGAATCAAACTACTCTTCCTTGATAAATAGGTAAAGTCATCATCGATTTATTCACCTTCTTTATCACTCCTCCGCATTAATTGTCACCGCGATTACTACTGATAAATATCTTTGGCTATGATGTCTTAAAATATTTATGTTTACAGGGAGAAACTATTACAGTGGAAGTAAGATAGTATGAAGATTTGGAAGTTCCTATGCATCTAAAGAAATCATAAGCCTGCTGGTTCAAGTTTCTTACACACAGCTCTAGTCGATGGGAATTTCATAGACGCTGCTTCTGGTGAGTAAAGTTTTCATTTTAAAAATTCTCTGTCTAGAAAGAGGCATCTCCTCTCATGCCCCCATATGTTTAGAGTCAATCCTTTATGGGCCTCTCAAATCTCCTATGCCCATATTTCTTTAATGACATATGAATATCCGATTTTGCCCTTTTGTATTTTTGAAATTATTTTTTTTAAATAAAAAATTCCAATTTTTAAAATTTCAAATTTTAAAATTTCGAATTTTAAAATTTCGAATTTTGATATAGTCTTACATAGTTGTACTGAGTTATACTGAGTTGTACTACTGAACTAATAATATTGAGTTTTACTAGTTATACTGAGTTTTATTGGTTATACACTTATACTGCGTAATAATGATGTTAGTTATACCAAGTTTGACTGAGTTATACTGAGTAGTAGTACTAAGTAGTATTCAGTAGTAGTACTAAAAGCATGATTATAGGGGTTTCTTAGTGGGTTTGTTAGGGAGTTCTTATTACGTGGGTTCCATGAACAGTATAAGATTCGGTTACAAAAAGTATGAATTAAGAACCAATTCTTATGGGTTTCTTGCACTATTCACAGGCCTCGCTGACACGTGGCCCACTTTTAAATTTTTTTTTAGACAAAAAAGAAAAAAAATTAAGAAACTCAAATGGATTTTTAAGGATAATAATGCTCTAAATAGTACTAACGAGTATTACTAAGTATTACTGTGTACTACTCAGTAGTACTACCAAGTATTACTAAGTACTACTACGTACTATATACTGAATTCGACTGAATTAGTAATACCGAGATACGTTGAATTTAGATCTGAAGATGAATAAATAAAAAACAAAAAAAACATTCAAATATCTTTCAAACATAGAACAATCCTAATTCATTTAAGAACCCTAACTCCCTCAATCTGAAACAATAAGAACCCAGAACCAAAAACAAAAATAAAAAAACTAAATTGAGGAAAACATCTGGAATTGCTCATCAAATTAGGTAGAGTCGTTGTTGTTATGAACATATATGAATTGTCGTTTCTTGTTCTGAACATATCTGAATCTTCGTCGTTGTTGTTATGAACAGATCTGAATTGTCGTTTCTGGTTAGAGTATTGTTTTCGGCCGGAAGGTTGCCACGAATAAGTCAGTTTGGAGGACCGAAGGCAGTTCTCCGGTGTAGGGTAATTTTGTTATTAGATTTAAGAGTAATTTTGTCACTAACTTCCTTTTCGAATTAAAAATAAATCACAATAATAATAAAATTATAGTTGGTCCTTGGAAGATTGTGTAATAAAGCATAGGGGTGTGAGAACATTTGACTCGTCTAGAAACAGAGATATAAAAAAGGAAAAGTTTGACTCTTGAAATCCAGTTTCCATGAGCACAAGTGTTTGGTTTTTGAATTGGGGGTTTAGGTAAGACGTTCCCGACTCTTAATCCATACACGAGGGAAGTCATAGTGAGCATAGCTGGAGATCTCGAATCTGGTCTGGTGACTGCTCTCTGGGATTGTGGTCATATTATTCATTCTCACCAAGGCTGCTTAGAGCCTCAGACTGAACCAAGGACCTCCATTTCCGGGATTGTGGTCATGCTATATATATATCTTTTTCATTTTCTCTCGATTGCTGCACTACTAATCTCTTCGTCTTACTTAGTTTTATTGGTAAAAACATGTTGTGCCTTCTCTTTTTCGTATTATTCCTAGAATCTCTTTATGTTACCAGCAGCAATACCATCATGAGAAACTTGTGGAAGGTATGAACATGAATGAAGAGATGTTGAATCTAACCTCTGTCGCTCGACAACTTAACAACCACATTGCTCTTGCCCACGAAATTAACCAAATTCAGTTTTCTTGGGACCGTAGCGCCCATATCGCAACCCTCAGATGCTTCTCTCCATTGCTGCCGCTACCAGACATCCGTTGATGGTGCAAGAGTCCAAACCTACTATCTACGAGATGGTTGTCTTGCTTTAGTCACCCCTACCTCTTCTCATGAACAGTGATTTTGGAAGCACAAACTTAAAATAGACAGCTTGATTACTGAGCTCCGAAGTAAAAGTCGAGAGACCATATATAATCGCCATTCTCCGATCTCAACCAGTGAAGAAGAAGGACGGCTCCTCCAGGTTTTCAATTTTCGCAACTGATGATTTCTTAGAAGAATCCTCTGCTTGAAAACATTATCAAAAAGTGTTTCCTTAATCGTTCAAATGTTTAAACAAATAGAAGAACAAAACTTCCCTTCACCCCCTGTGGTGTATTCTTAAATTCACCTCATTCCCCAAGACCAATCAAATTGCCACATCAGACTGGTTAAATAAGGTATTACAATTAAATAAGGTATTACATTTAAAAAAAAAAAAGGAAAATAGCTGAAAAAAATAGAAGACGCTTAATGGTTAACGCCGTCGGCTTTTTTGTTCGTTACCCACATAGACAAGTGGAGAAGACGAAGGAATAGAATCATGATCTCCATCGGCTTCTTCTTCTTAGTTACCCACAGAGAAGATAGAAAGGAAGTTTTGTTTGCCAAGTTTGAATCTCCAAAGATGGTAAAGCAATCAATCCAAATTCGAGAATCAATCTCATCTCTCCCTTGTAACTCCAGCTCAAAAAGCGTAATAACCACCGATCACACACTCGCGTACTGTTAATTCTAGGGCTAGCTCCAAACATCATGTTTTTCTCCGGCAATCCTTCGACTCGGAAGCGAGTCGATTTAGGTGGCCGGAGCACCAAGGAGGGAGATGCTCGCAAGCTTCTTGAGTAGACCAGGATGGAGCATAATTGTCGTCTGCTTCAGAAGCAGCAGAACTCCGCCGCCATTCAGGTCAAAATTTCTTCAATTTAGACTGTGTTTTCTAAGCAATGTAGAACCAAGCATATGGCTTTTGGATGGATGTTGAGCTTAATTGTACCCACGTTTTATTAGCTTTGAGTTTTTATTAGATACGGAACATACATTTCTCTTTCTGAAGATGCAACACTCCAAATGGCTTGTTCTCATTTGTTTTGGCTAAAGATTAAAGCTTTATCAACGTGTCATGCTTCTTTTCGTGTTGGCAAGTTGTTTGTTGACTAGTTTTTATTTGGTTGTAGAAATTATTTAGAGGAGAAGAGCAATGGCCATTGATGCTTGTGGAGACGTGTCGTCTACTGCGAAGTTTTGCACACAGCAGTGGTATTTTTCAGTATCTATTCATGTTTTTATTCTTGATGGTTGTTGGTCAGTTAGTTCTTGGGGTTGGTTGATCAGTGTGCTTTTAGCTCTCTAGGCAACTCTTAGGTAAAGGAGCTAATGCTCTGATTGGTTTCTTTGTGCAGGGTTTTGGATGAAAAGCTGAGAAAGACTTTCCATAGTTACGTTGAGATCAGAGGGATAACGCCGAGCATGATCAACTTCTTACACGAGTATATAATCAACAAAGTTAGTAAAGAGAACTTACTGTGGTTGAAAACGCTCAAGAACTTCGTCACGTCTTGAGGAAAACAGAACACTTTTTTTCTCAGTTTTCAGATGCTCTCTGTTTATCCAAATTTGTACTTGAAACACAACTCTGTTATGTTTGGATCTCTTTATATAGTAAAATCATTAACACAGTCTAAAAAGTATGAGAATCACTACAGAAATCAGAAGTAACTTGGTCAAACATGTCTAGTATTTCAAGTGAATATACTCTGTGTGTGATTGATAATCCATAGGCATATGCAATGCTGAACCTAATGCTCAAGTGTGGTTCCTGCTCTAGCATTCCATGTTTGTTACTATGATGTTTGCCTAGATAATGGCTAAGAGCACATAGAGAATAAAAGAAAAGTAACATCACATACCTTCTTTTAATGAGAAATTGATGGTTTCTCTGTGAGTAAAGGGTAAGGAAGAAGAAGAACAAAGCCGATGGCGTTAATAGGTAAGCGTCTTCTATTTTTTTTCAGCCATTTTCCTTTTTCTCAGCTCCTATTCTGCATCAAGTTTAGTATATTATATATGGCGATCTCCAAGGCGATTGCATCAACCCAATGAAAACAACAAAGATCAAGTTTCAGATCTGGCTCGGATTTGGATGTGAAGATGAAGGATTTACCTCGTTTAGGGTTTCAGTTGTCATATTTTCCAGATCTATGAAGTTTCCCGTTTTGGGGTTTTCAGATTGGATTCACTATGGTTTCTCTGTGGAGCAGAGAACGACCGCGGGTTTGAAGATTCGCCAGACCGATTTGGTTTGGGATCTTATTACGAAGATACGAGTTCGTGACAGGGTGTTAGTGTATCGTATATTGAAGGATTTAGTAGAATATTCAAAGGATCTACAGAATCCACGATTTGAGATTTGGTTGAGGAATGAACGCGTGAGCGAATCAGGGCAAGATTTTAAGGAGATAGTGGAGCGTACTCGGAGGGGCTTGGGTGATACTACAAATAAGATCCTACGAGATACGGAGCTTAAGTTGGAAAAGGTTTGGATCCTGGTAGGGATTCAAACAGTGGAGGAGAAGGTAAACAATATACTTTTTCGAAAATTAAGGAGATACCACATATTAAGTTACCTTTTGCCACTTAAAATATCTTGCGGAATTTTTTAAAGGGTTCAATGATTATTGGAGGATTTGGTTTCTGCGGAGTGAGTTACTAGGAGATCGTATAATAGTAAATATATGTTTTCCTCAATCTTGTGCTTTAATGGAATTCTGGATTGGTTTTAAATCAGAAGAGAAATCTAGGATATCATGGTATTTACAATTGAGATTTTTTATTGATTTTCTGGGATTTTAATATTACTGTAAGCAAAGTTTGGAATAGGGTGGTAAGTATTATTTATAGGATTACGTGGTTTATAGTTTTATTTCATCATTTTACTCACTCTTTAGTGCCTAACTTTGTTTTTCTCTTTTGTGATCTCTCGGCTCTTTTCGAGATTATGTCTTAAAGTCAATGGTTCCTGAAGTTAGGTGGGAAGAAGGTGGAGGTGCCTACGGTCGGTCTGAAGATAACCATCCCCAAGTTTGATAACACTAACCTCATTAATGGATATTCCAAGACCCTGATAGAGCGCTGCATGAACCTGTTCAGGCAAAACATGAAAGATCTCCTCATAACGTTGCCCAGGATTTGGCAGATCGAGGATTATGTGGTTGGTGCTGATCTCGGTCTCGGGATGTTCCAGTTTGATTTCGATCGGGAGGAAGATATTGTGGAGGTTCTAAAGACAGAACCTTTTCATTTTGACAATTGGATGCTGTCTCTTGTCAGATGGGAGCCGGTGGTGGAGGTGAATTATCCTTCACAAATTACCTTTTGGGTCCGAGTTATTGGAGTCCCATTTCATTTCTGGGCAGAACCAACCTTTAGGGGGATTGGAAACACGATTGGTTTGGTTCGCAATGAAGATGATATAGATCTGAATGAGGGTCGGGTGCGCATGGTGATGGATGGCTTCAAACCCTTGGTTTTTTTAAATTACTGTTGAGTTTCACAGTGGGCAGGAGAAGCTGCTTGCGTTAAGGTACGAGAAGCTTCATGGTTTCTGTCGGTTTTGCTCGAGTCTGAGGCATGATCAATCAAGATGTCCCATGAACCTGCAATAAATAGATGGAGGTACTGATGGAATGAGAAACAACCCATCACACGGTGAACAAGGTCTTAGCTACAAAGGGGCTGTTGAATCTCAAGCAAGGAATCCAAATATGGAAAGTAGACAAGGAAATCATCACCAACAAGCTCCAAATGGGAGAGACCTTAAGGGAAAAGGTGTGGCTCGTGAGAATCCAGGTCCTTATAGGCATAATGGTCCATCAAATTTTCATGGCGGAAGGAATTATCGGCACCAGGGAGAGGGTTCTAGCAGAAACGTAAGGCAATCAGGTTACTTGCCTCCGAAGGAACCACCCATGCAATATGCTATGGCAACAAATGGGGTTGATAATCTCAGGAATGAAGAGGTTGGATTCCATTTAGATGATCAACAAAAGTTAATGCTAGAAGCTTTCACCAGTAGAGAAAAGGGTGTGGAATCAACCTCTAAGGCTCGCAAGTCACTTAATTTCGAGGAGGAGGTCCAAGAGATTGTGGCAACGGTCCAAAAGCATGGCTCAGATTCAATGGTACAAACCAGGGAGGATGTTTCTCTTGGGGAAGAGGTGGGGGTGGATGAAGGTCAGGCTGGAGAGTTTCTTGAAAGGAGAGAACATGGATCAGAGGCAGAAGATGGTATGGAGGTAGTGGAATCTGCGGCTGGGGCAAGTGCTGAAATGGTGGAGCTGAATAAGACTGAAGGAAGGATGGAGAAGATGAAAGTGGGGGATCAGCAACCTCTAAATTCAGAGGATTTGATGGAAGAGGCTAATGGAATGGATGAGGATGACCTCATTGAAGAGACGAATTTAATGCACAATGGAAAAGAGAATCCAGCACCGAAGAGGAGAACAATTAAACCAGGAAGTTTAACACTTGTAGGAAACACTAAGAAGAGGTTTGTTCAGAGTGTTATCTCACCACGCAAGAAGATCATGTCAAAGCAGGCAGCCAAAGCGGGTGAGAAGGGGTCTTTCATCCCCAAGAAGGCCAATCCCTTGGCAAAGACAGACCACGAGTAAGGTTTTGTTTTCAGTTTTTTTTTGTGTTTTAAAATAATAATATGAATAATTGTTGGGCTATGATTATAAAGTCCCCTGTTTTTTTATTTGTGGTTTTCGGGTTTTACATAGGAAGTGTATTCCTAGTCTTAAGTTATTGGATTAATAAAACGATGATTCTTTGGTTGATTGCGTTCTTCGTATATAGGCAGAGAAATTGTTTAAAGAAGATTGGTTCAGGATTAGTTGAGTGCTTTCCTTTTATGTTTATGGGTTGTTCATAGTCTCATACGGCTGTTTTTACAAGTGCTCTCCCATTGGAATGGCAGTGGAATCTGGAGAGTTTGACTATTTTATCTTTAAGGTATGTGTCTAGTAATTTGTACTCTCAGGATTGGAAGTTATATAATTTACTCATTTTTGATGGTGTAAGGTTTAGGGTCTTTGGTAATGTACATTTTCTTTTGTTATTGCAAAGATATGTGAGTATATGCATTCTAAATACTCAATGGTGTTGGCAATTGTATTTTGGACAAGTACTGGTTTTTGGGAAGAGGCATTTTGCCATTATCAGTGAACTCCATTTACACAGGTGGCAGGTTTCTTTGCAGAGAATGGAATGTATTTTGTTTCTAGTAACGTTAAAGGATTCTTATTTTAGACATGATTCTCTACTCTGGTATCCACAAGATTATTACATACCTCTTTTTAGGTTTGCTTTTGGTACAGAGTGTGATCAACCGGTAACGTGGATTGCTAGACAAAGGTCAAAGCTGCAAACTTGGAGAGGGTTATCTCAGGATATCGAATTTTGGATAAAGATTCCAGTACAAGTCCTACTGCCCACTACCTTCCACAAGGAGGGATTTTATTTCCTGCTTTGTAGTAATTTAGTCTCTGTAAGGGTGGAATTCTGTGACTATCAGCGTATGTGCACGTATTTGATAATTTATTTCTAATGGGAACCATTAGGTAATAAGGACGGAGTCATCATGACTTTATGTCATAAGGCAATACGGTCGTATAAAGTTCGAGAGTTTTGTACAATGGTCACGATTAACAGGCTGGTTTTATTATGGGAAATATCTAGAGGTTATATGGAGTCGGCCTCGCCAGGATTCCTAGACAGCAGTGACTCTTTCGTTTGTTATTTTCAATTTTGGGGATTTATGAAGAATTTTTGTCGGAATTGTAAAAGAATTGGTAGTAAATGGATTATTATTTATATGAGACAAACATATGGTGGAAAAGTAGGACTTCTGGAGAATTTTATATACTTGAGTAACAAGGAAACTTGGTTGGTTTTTGGTACGATTATTTTCTGGAACGAGTTTTCTATGGAGTTTAAAACTTTAATGAATTGGATCTCATTAAACCATATTATTAGGGGCTCTACGGAGCTTTCTCAAAAATTTATATACTTTTTATGAGTATTCTGAGTTGGAATTGCAGGGGTGCGGGTAGTTCGGATACGGTGCAACGTATTCGAGATCTACGTCGTCATTTTTTTCCGGATTTTATGTTTCTCATGGAGACTAAGCAAAAATTTGCTTACATGGACGTTTTAATATCAAGTTTGGGATACGATTTCTTAAACACGGTGGAACTCATTGGGCGTAGTGGTGGCGTAACTCTAATGTAGAAAGGGTGTTATTCAATTGAAATTTTAAAGAGTAACAATAGAATTATTGATCTTAAAGTCACAATGGGGTCACTTGAATTTTTTTCTTGCATGTGTATATGGAGATCCAGTAAGAGCAAGGAGACGATATGTTTGGGATCAACTAATGGATACAGGTGTGACTAGAGATGAGGAATGGCTTTTGGTTGGTGATTTTAATGAGCTAATGCATAATGGTGAAAAGCTGGGAGGAGTTACTAGAGAGGAAAACACTTTTTTCGATTTTCGGAATATGGCGGAAGCATGTAAAATCAGAGAAATGAGAAGTACGGGAAATACTCTTTCATGGGCAGGTGTGAGAGATCACAATTGGGTTCAATGTCGCCTGGATAGGAGCTTTGGCAATGGGGAATGGTTTAGACTCTTTCCACAATCATCTACTGATTATATGACTATGTGGCCTTCTGATCATCGACCTCTTCGCATAGAGTTTGCACTCGAGCCTGAAAATTTGTATAGAGGACGATTCTATTTCGATAAACGTATGTATGGTAAAAGAGTGGTAGAGGAGGCTATTATTCAGGGATGGGGTGCGGAGAATATTCACTCCAATCTCAGTGTACTAGATCGTATTGCCCGGTGTCGTTCGGAACTGGCTAAGCTTAAAAGGACCAATGATTGGAATTCAAAAACAAGAATAGAACGGTTACAAACTAATTTGGACAAAGAAATCTCCAAGAAATTTTCCATTTTTAGTTTGTTAAGGAGGATAAGACAAGAATTGGCTTCGGCTTACAGGGAAGAAGAAATTTTCTGGAGACAAAAAAGTCGGGAGGAATGGCTACGGGAAGGGGATAGAAATACAACTTATTTTCATAATGTGGTAAAAGGGAAAAAAGGAGGAATAAAATTTTAATGCTTAAAGATATTATTGGGAATGAGCATTATTCTGAAGGGTCAAAAGGGCATATTGCTACTGAATATTTCAGAGATTTGTTTACGATTTCCAACCCAAGAGACTTGGAAACTTTGTTTGACGGTTTTGATACTAGGATCACACCGGAAATGAACATTTTGTTAACGAGAAAGGTCTCACCTGAGGAGATCAAAAAAGCAGCATTTGGGATTAAAAGTAGCAGCACCCCTGGAGAGGATGACCTCACTGGCTATTTTTACCAGAAATATTGGCATATTGTCGGTCAGAAGATTATTGGTGATGTTCAAAGTTTTTTTAAAACAGCCATTCTTCCTGAGGGATGGAATCATACACAATTATTTTTGTTACCAAAAATTCTACATCCTACGGAGATGAAGGATATGCGTCTCCTTAGTCTTTGCTCGGTTCAATACAAAATCATTTCTCCGATTCTCTGCGATCGAATGAAAGTAATTTTACCAAACATAATTTCGGAAACTCAAGGAGCTTTTGTTGGAGGTAGGCTAATTACTGACAATGTCATTATCGCACATGAACTGGTACATGGTCTGCGCACAAATGATAAAATTGGTAGGGAAAGTATGGCTATTAAGACAGATATGTCAAAAGCATATGATCGGGTTGAATGGAATTTTCTTGAAGTTCTACTTGAAAAAATGGGATTTGATCGGAAATGGGTCGTTTGGATTTTGTCATGTATTACCACTGTTACTTTTCAGTGTTACTAAATGGAAGATCTCATGGATTTATTAAACTTGAACGTGGAATACGTCAGGGGGATCCCTTATCGCCTTTTTATTTATCTTATGTGCTGAAGCATTAGTACATGTTTTAAACAGAGTTGAAGCACAAGGGAAATTAAAGGGTATAAAATTAGCTAAAGATAGTCCTTCGGTGCATCATCTGTTATTTGCGGATGATAGCTTGTTGTTATGTGAAGCCTCTATCGAGGACAGTGAAGAAATTCTGCAGTGTTTGGAAAGGTATGGGACGGCTTCCGGACAAACGATTAACCCTTTAAACTCTTCTGTCATTTTTAGGAAAAACGTAACCAATGATACAAAACAAGATATAAAGAGGGTTTTGGGTATCGACAAGGAAGGTGGGGAAGGTTCATATCTTGGCCTCCCTGAATGCTTTCAGGGATCAAAAAAAGATCTTTTAAATTTTATCAAAGAGAAATTAGAAGGTAGATTACAGGGTTGGTATTCCAAAACTTTATCAATGGGGGCTAAGGAAGTTTTGATTAAATCGGTTGCTTTAGCTCTCCCAATATATGAAATGTCAGTATTTCGACTACCAAGAGGTCTGTGTGAACGACTTACGAGTGCGATTATTGAATTTTGGTGGAGTAGTAGGGATAAAAAAAGGAAGATCCCTTGGGTGGCATGGGAAAAATTATGTAAACCAAAAGAACAGGGGGGTCTGGGATTTCATGACATTGGTCGGTTTAATCAGGCTTTACTTGGAAAACAAGCTTGGCGAATTTGGAATAATCCTGACTCTTTGGTTTCTCGCATTCTTAAAGGTAAATACTTCAAAAATGGAAATTTTCTGGAGTGTGGTATGGGAACACGGCCATCATATGCATGGCGAAGCATCATGCATGGTAGAGAATTATTGAAAAAGGTTTATATCAACATATTGGTAATGGGGCTGACACCAATGTTTGGGCGGAAAATTGGATTATCGATATTATTCCTTGGTCACCAATGTACCGGGAAAATAGTACCATAAATCTATCGATAAAAGTTTCTGATCTATTTATTCTGGGCTCGAATCAGTGGAATAGTAATTTACTACATCAAACTTTTACGGCACAGGATGCTCAACGGATTTTACTTTTGAAACCATCATTGTTACTTGAAGACACACTCAGATGGGGTTTCACAACGAGTGGATCCTATTCGACTAAGAGCGGATATAAGTTGCTAGAAGCTTTGGTTGATTATGATCATCCTTCAGGTTATTCCCTCCCTCGTATGGAGAAAAAATTATGGAAAGAGGTATGGAAAGTTAAAGCCCCACCAAAAATAAAACACTTTATGTGGCGGGCACTATCTGGTGCATTAGCGGTGAAACAACGTTTGGCTACTCGGGGTATCCCGATGGACCAAACATGTTCGGTTTGCGGCAATGAGGCAGAGAGTATATGTCATGTTCTTCTTACATGTACGAAAGCACGCGCAACATGGCAGCAGGCTAATTTCCCACTACCTTTAAATGGTTTTTCTCGGAATTCAACATTTCTAAATTTTGTTCACCTCATTAAGAGTGCCAAAAACTCAACCACGGATGTTCATATAAGGAATTTTTTCCCATGGTTGTTATGGGAAATTTGGAAAGCAAGGAATAATTTTGTTTTCCAAGCCAAAGATATTGAGCCTTCCTTTATTGCTAAGAAAGCCTTTGAAGAGGAATCAACATGGTTTGATACATTCACCGGACCAAATGAGAGTGTCA